AGTGAATCTATATGAAAAGAATAGTTACAAAGGTACCAAATGGAGGCTGGGGTGATATTATATTTATAGAGCTGATTGCCTTTGTTTGCCATACTGTGAGATCCTTGAGAACAAAGACTATTTAATTTTTGTCTTTGTACCCTCAGCACCTAGCATGGTGTCTGGAACTCAGTAGGCATTTAGTTAACACTTGTTGATTGATAATGAAAGAAATGATTATTAATAACCAATGATTTGGGGAGATCCAAAGTTCTCCCATTTTTTTTGAAAGTCCTCATTTTAAGGCTCAGCCTCTGAGGGACAAGATTGATGATAGCAGATACGATTAATATTCTCCTCAATCTAGATATTGTTACCCCATCCAGCCTTACAAGGAATTTAATCTGAGGTGAAACTCCCAGCCCACTGTGTTCTGCTCAGGCTTGTGTGGTGGTGGTAGAGGTAGATATAGACCCTTTGTCTAGATTTCCCCAAGGTTAGGAGTGATTAGGAAGTAAATGACATGATCAAAGTTACATTCCCCTAATCCCTCATTAGAATAGGTCCACTTGTCATTATAATATTCAATCTCTCTCATTAATTGTTAACCAATAAGAGTTGCTTGCCACCTTCAAGAACACCTACTCTTCCAAGGGCATCTAAACTGTGAGCTCACCACTATGATTCACACTTGGTATTTGAGAATGTTACTGACTCATCTGTTCTTTTCATACAGATTCACTTTGTTTAACTACTTGCTACATAGCTGTATGTGTCTGTATCTGATTACCAATTCAATTTAATAAACATTTATCAAGTGTCTGTATGTGACAGGCACTGTACTAAATGCTGGGGATACAAAATGAGGCAAGACAGTTCCTGCCCTCTAGGATAAATAATATGCTAGTATTATTAATAAAATGATTAACCATCCAGAGATTTTGTCTCTTGAACTTTTTGAATGTAATGATTTCCTCTGTATGTTTGGCTAATTTTAAGAGACATCTCACCAAATTTTGAAAATCTAGACTCTCTGGATCTCTGAAATATAAAGGAGAGAGAGGATGATCAATAATGTTGAGTACATCAGATAGCTCACAGGGGGATGAGAACTGAAAATTACAACAATAGTAGAAAAGCCCTCTTCTCCTAGCCTTTCTGTGTATCATTTATTCACTCTTGATCTTTCTTCACCTTGACAAAGGCCTTTCTCTGACATGACATATTACCATTAGACCCAGAAAGGGTTACAGTGTTCCTACCTAACTTAGGAAAACTCAAGTCAGTCTTTGGTGATGACTAGTTATAGTTCCTGGTGAAATAAATTCTTTTTCATATGAATTCTCATGTGATACGAGCATGGAGATTCTTTCTCTCCAACAGGTTAAAATCAGCATTATGAGAGTAATCTTTCATCAAAAGCTATCAATATTCATACAACTTGTTTCTTTAATGACTCCTGCCCTAATGGAGTAGATATATAAATATGACTTGGAAAGCAATGTTTAACCCTTTCATTTAGTTATATAAGGCATGAAATTTAATAAACAATATTTTAAGGCCCTAATCGATGGTTTAACATATGCAGATATCTGTCTTGGTCTCCCCCTCACTCATCTATATACTTTAGTCCCCTTCATCATTACATCATCATTATGTGTCTGTTCTATTGAGTATTGCCGAAATGGTACACCAGAAATTATCCCTGATTTCTAAAAGTTCAAAATCATACAAAATGACACCCAAAGAAGGAGAAAATAGGTTTCCACTTACCCAAGGTTTATGCCAGGCCTCCTCACTGGAGATCTGAAGAACTCACCATGGGTAGTTTTGGTGGCTGGATGGCACAGTGGACAGAGTGCTAGGCCTGAAGTCAGACAGACTCGTTTTCTCAAGTTCAAATCTGGCCTCAGGCACTTAACTAACTGTGTGACCCTGGGCAAGTCACTTAACCCTGTTTGCCTCATTTTTCTCATCTGTAAAAAGAGCTGCAGAAGGACATTAACGGCAAAACATTCCAGTATCCTTGCCAAGAAAATCCCAAATGGGGTTACAAAGAATCAGACAAAACTGAAATGATGGAACAAGAGCACGCTAGGTGCTATTGATGTGAAGATCAAATGAGTCACATATGTGAAGCTCTCTGCAGACTTTTAAGGTGCTATGTAACTGCTAGCTATGATGATGATAATGTCCCATGACAGACAGTACATTTTTTAAGTTAGGAAGGAGGAATGCTCTGTCTTTTAAAGGGTTCATCAATGAATACTAAAATTTTCCAGGCGCTTTCCTTACAGTGTGGTTATTGACAGATAATTAACAGCATCACTTAAGAATGGCAAGCCAACATCATTATTAATGCTAGATGAAGAAGTTATAAAACACAAAGATAGCACCTTTATTTACCATCCTTCCTTGATTTTACATTGTACTTTACAGTTTTTAAAAGTTCTTTTTTTTTAACAACAACCTTATAGAGTTGGCTCTTCAAATATCCTCCCTATTTTGTAGATGAGCAAAGTGAGGCTCAGAAAGCGTAGGTGACTTGCCTAGAATTAGTAACACAGCTAAATAGATAGCTGACCAATACTCAAATCCAGATCTTCTAAGTCCAGTATTGTTTCTACTCTGCTTTCGTGTTCCCCCGTGTCTTCAAGGAAGATTATGTGCAAATCACATTTTTACCATCAAATCCCATCTTTTCCATAGCTAACATAATATCAGGCCTGCTGATGGGACATTGAGTAAGGTTACATGGACTAAAGAATTGTCAAACAGTTATCTAAGGTCTTTAGTGAGAAGCTCACTCCTGAGAGAGGCAATCAGGAAAATCTTTCTCAAGAAGGCAGTCTTTGAATTGGGCTTCATAAATAAGACTTCAACAGGTGGGAAAGGGGACATTTCTGCTATGGGGAATATCATGAGCAGAATCATGGAAGTTTATGAACCCAAGGATATTTTCAGAAGAGAGTAAATTAGTCCATTTGGAATAGAATACAAAGACCATGGAGAAAACTAATATGACATAAAGTTAGAAAAGTAAGATGACGCCAGATGGTGGGGGGCCTTGAATATGAGATGAAGGTGTTCGAACTTTACTCAGTAGACACTGGGGATCCATGGAAGACTTTTGAGCAAAGGAGAGACATGACCAGATTCATAAATAAGGAAGTTAAGTCTGGCATCAGTATGAAGGGTGGCTTAAAAGGGAAGAGAATGGAGGAAAGGCAGCTTTTTAGGAGGCTTTGGCATTAGTCCACATAGGTGGAAATGAAAGCCACTACAGTAATGGACACAATAACAGAAAGAAGAGGATAGATATGAAGAAAAATTCAGAGGATAAAATTTATGGAACTTTAGTAATTAATTGGAAGGCAGCTAGGTAGTACAGTAGACAGAGCACTGGGCCTGGAGTCAGGAAGACTCATCTTTAGGAGTTTAAATCTGGCCTCAGATACTTACTAGCTGTGTCACCCTGAGCAAGTCATATAATTCTGTTTTGCCATTCTTCATTTGTAAAATGAGCTGGAAAAGGAAATAACAAACCACTCCAGTATCTTTGCCAAGAAAACCCCAAATGGGGTCACAGAGTCGCACACGACTGAACAACTGAACAACAACAACAACAAATTAATTGGATATGAGAGGTGAGGGAAATGATTCCAAAAAGTAATGCTGACCTTTTGAATATTGTTTATTATGCAGGTGTCGGTACTACTGACAAAAAAAAATAGCGACATCAAAAGGAACAAATTATGAGCAAGGTCAGTTTTGGCCAGGTTTGAAGTTGCAGTGGGACATTTCTGCTAAAGGCATGACAGCTAGACAAGTGTATCTGGAGCTGGGAAAAGAGGTCAGGACTGGGGATAAATGTTAATATTATCTGAATGGAAGCCACCACAATAGCTAGGGAAGTGAATAAAATTAACAAAGAAGAAAACATAGAGGAAGAAGAGATGAGTTCCCAGGAAAGAAGCTTCACAAAGGAAAAGAAACCACCATAGGAAAAGGTAACACAATGACCATAGAGGTAGAAAGAGAGCTAGTGTGGAACAGCATCATGGAAACTAAAGGAGGAGAGTATTAAGAAATAGTTGTAGTCAGTGGTGTCAGGTAGCAACAAGGCCAAGGAAGATGAGGACTGAGAAGAGACTACTAAATTTGGAAGTTAAATCAGGTCAGTAGTGACCTTGGAAAGAGCTGTTTCTCTAGAGTGGTAGGCATAGGAGATTGATTACTAGAGGCTGATGAGTTTACAAGGGTGGTGAGGAAGTAAAAACAGTGAATATGAAGCATTCTTAGAAGTTTAAAGGAAAAAGGGAAGAAGAAAAAGGGACGTTAGCCTGAGACAGTGACAAAGTCAAAGGAAAATGGTGTTTTAAGGGCGAGAAAACAAGCATATTTGTAGGCAGTTGGGAAAGAGCCAGTGGAGGAGAAATTGAAGAGTCCAAAGAGAATAGAGATGATCAATAAATCAAGGTACAGGATGAGACAAAGGATTAAGGGTTATTTTTGACAAGGGCACCATCTTGTCCTCTCTGTATGGAAGGGAGAAGGAAAAGATGCCTGATAATAAAAAGCAATTTAGAGTAGTGGAGGAGAGAAGCTCCTGCCCACTTTTCTGCTAAATAGTTTAAGATACTGAAAACAGAGACAGAGACAGAGAGACAGAGATGTAGAGATAGATAGATATGTACTTATAATCTCACCTAATTAGAATATAAGCTTCTTTCGTTCCTTTTATTTGTAACCCCAGTCCCTTGCACAATGCTTGGCATATAGTAAGTGCTGAATTAATATTTGTTGATTGATTATTGGAATATGTAAGTATAAGCAGGAAGGGAAATTATCCCTTAAGAATTTGACTGAAAACTTTTCTTAAATTAAAAGATCCTTTTGTATGACTAATTATCATTCTCTGATAATTTTTTTTTACAAATTAGAGTGGGTTTTTTCCAGTTTCTTAACAGAGTGCCTTCATTTTACTCCTGTGGACTGACCTAATCTCTGTTCTTTTCCAGAGGAGATTTGTACCCTGGTCATTGCAGAGACTTTTCCTGAGGATGCAGGAATCTTCACTTGCTCTGCAAAAAATGAATATGGATCTGTAACCAGCACAGCAGAGCTAGTTGTCAACTCAGGTACCTGACCGATAGGGAAATGCAGAGTTTCTGAACCATAATGTCAGATCACTGCCTGTGGCAGCATGCAGAATTCTAACTAATTACTTCAGAAGACAACTACTGTACTTCAAGAAATAGTTCTCTAAGTCTTGCTCACTTCTCCTAACTGGCAACTTTGTTAAGTGGAAACAAAAGCCATTTTTGATGGAGAGGCATAGAAATAGGAGGGGAGCTTTCAAGGCCATGTGGTAGCATTGGGCGCGCGCGCACACACACACACACACACACACACACACACAAAATCTCTGTAAAATATCATAGAAAAGAGTATTACCATTGGTCTTTGAAGCCAGAGATTTCCAGTTCTGCCTCTGTTTCCCTTCCTGCAAAATGGGGATAATAATTCTCATTCTACCAGTCTCATGGTTAGTTCTGAGGAACATGCTTTGCAAATCTTTAAAATACTATAGAAACGTATTCCAGGATTATAGCATCATAGAAAATTATCATAGAAACTCAGAAGCTAATGGATCAGATCCTGCTAACATTTAACAGCTGAAGCTGAGGCAGCAGGACACAATGAAGCAGCCACACAGGAGATCCAGACATATGTGTGATTGATCATCAGTGAAGCTTCCAGAAAGGGAAGCATAAGAAGGAAGCTAATATGAGAATGGAGAAATGACTTTTTTTAATCTATGAAATTAAATTTCATAGCAACTAGACACAACCATTCTGTGAAGAGAGCAGCAGGGTTTATTGCTCCTGCTTAGAAAAAAAAACAACAACAATGAATGTAGGGGCAGCTAGTTGATGCAGTGGATAGAGCATTGCCCCTGAAGTCAGGAGGACCTGAGTTCAGATATGACCTCAGACAGTAACTAGCTGTGTGAATCTGGGCAAGACACTTAACACTGATTACCTCAAAAAAATGGATGTCAAAAAACAATTAAAATGGCCAAACTTGGCACCTAAGAAGAAATTTTAGAAGGTACATTTCCCTACTTCTTTTCAGATGTGAGAGTGTGGTATGGAAAACTAAATATAGTGTCAAACTTTTTCAATTTGTTGGCTAGTTTTCCTGAACTGGTCCCCTCCCCTCTTTAAAAATTCCTTTCTTATAGGGGATTTCTCTCTGGGAGGAAAGATGGGGGTGGAAACAGACATAGGAAATGTTGTTGATATAAACTCACAAATAAGCCATTTAATGTGAAAATGATTATCTCTTCCTAGTATTTTATTTCAGCCTGAGTATTCATTACATTGCCTCTCTCAGTCATTACCTTTCTGAAAACTTCTTCAGTACTTCTCAGTCTCCCCTACAGTGCCTGCCTAGCATAGTGCTTTGTACATAGTAGGCCATCAATCAAGATTTGTTGTTTGATGGAGTGGCACTGGACATTCTTTTCTGATTCCTGGAGAGTGGGAACTTGGTGCTAGGTGGCAGCAGAGGCAAGATAAAAAGAAGTAAAGAGATAGGAGAATGGTGATTGTGGACTTCTGTGGCTCCTCCCAATTAAGAGCAGAAAAACAAGGCCCAGCACAGCATGGGAAGAGCTGATGTGAATGAGTCAGGAGTAAAGCCTGATGTAAGGACTAGAGTTGAGGAGAAAGCCACCAACATACCAGGCACATTATAGGATGGCCTCAGCAATAATGCAAGAATCACTAATCCAATTGCAGGGAGTCAGAGAAATATGTGACATTAAAACCATAGCTAGGAATTCAAGTGCCTAGAGTAAACTCAGTGGTGTCAGAAACAGAGACTTGGAGATAGTCTGGTTCTACTGAGAGGGAGGATTCTACTGAGAGAGGAAACAGAGCATGGCCTAGCCAGGTTAGGCCAGGGGGAGAGTTCAGCTGTGGTGTGGTATAGACATTGGTATCCCAGCACAGTGAGAGTTAAACAGGACAGTCTGATCAGGTTGAATGAGGTCATGCTCAAGTTTTGAGACAGGGATATGAAATGACTGGACCCTTCGTAGGGTCCAGAGCCCACAGAAGAGGGGAGGTAATCACACTGTAAGGCTGGGGGCCAGCAGCTCACCATAAAGCAATGGAGAAGCAAGCTGGAAGAGCACCATGGGAAGGAATTATATTCTCCCTCCCCCCATAGATGTTGGTGCTCTTGGGCAAAGCCCCAGTGTCCCTGCCTTAGGGCCCTGTGAATATAATGTCAAATGGAATTATTATTATGAGCTCTGTGGCCTTTCCCTGTGCTTGACCTGATGTGACCCTCTTACATACCACCACAATCAATCAACATCTATACAACACCATGCCCAAACATAAATGTTCCAACTACATGGACTAGGTTTGCTTTGAGATCTAAGATCTCAAGCAGGTCCTTTAACTGAATTCTTCAACTTCCCCACATGTAAAATGCAGAGAATATATACTCCCCACCCCCCAGAACTCTTCTAGGTCTTGGGGAGCCTATGCCAGCAAAGCACATTGAGTTTACTTAATCAGATCTGTGGAAGGGTGTAGAGGGAGTACAAAGCAGTGTTACCAACGCTGTCAGTTTTAACTTTGTAAATTGTCAAATATGACCCCTTTTCTCCTCCAACACTGCCACCACTATAGCGCAGGTCCTCAAGCCTGTGCTATTGCAATGGCTGTTGGTGGGTGTTGCTTGCTAACATCTATATCATACTTACTATGTGTCAGGCACTGTGCTGAGTGCTTTACAATCATTTGATCCTCGTAACAACCCTGTTGAAATAGGTACTGTTATTATCCCTATTTTACAGATGAGGAAACTGAGGCAAACAGGTTAAGTGACGGGTCACACAGCTAGTAAGTATCTGAGGCTGGATTTGAACTCAGGTCTTCCTGACTCCAGGTCCAGCATACGTCTACTTTGCCACCTAGCTGCCAACCTCAAGTCTCTCCACAACCCTATTCATCCTCTGTTCAGCCACTAAAATGATTTTCCTGAAGTCTGGGTTTGATCATGTCACCTCCTCAGCTCAAGAAACACCAATGGCTCCCTATTACCTCCAGGATCAAATACAAAATCTTCTATTTGCCTTTCAGAGCCCTTCATTACCTTACCCACCCCACCTCCCTTCCCAATCTTCTCACATCTTACTCCTCACTAAGTATTCTTCTATCCAGTGACACTACTGCTTATTCTTCCTCAAACAAGACATTTTCTCTCTAGACTCCGGGTGTTTTCTCTGGCTGCTCCCCATGCTTGGAATGCTCCCCACCTCTATTCTGCCTACTGGTTTCTCTGGCTTCCTTTGTTTTCCAACTAAAATCTTCTATTACAAGAAGCCTTTCCTGACCCCTTTTTATTCTAATGTCTTCTCTCTCTTAATTATTTCTTATTTATCCTATATTATAGATTGTTTGGATGTATTCGTTTGTTGTCTCCACCACTAGATTGGAAGCTCTTTGAGAGCAGGGACTGTATTTTGCCTCTTTATATATTCCCAGCATTTAGCATGGTGCCTGGCACATAGTAGGTACTTAATAAATGTTTATTAGTTGATTCATTAGTATATTCAACACTGCTCAAATTCTGTTTTCATCCTTTGTTAGAAATTTCTGCAAGCTCTATTGCTGCTAAATAAGCAGTAGCTGGTTTCCCCTTACAAAGACATAATCTGAATTCAAGTGGTCAGTGGTCATTTGAAGCAAATGTGGAAGTTAGCAAAGTCCTCCAGGAGAAATATCCAGCTGGCATTGTCTGGACATCATGCAGGAGCAATGTAGTTACTTGTCTTTTGATGGATTAACGGCACTCAATGTTTGTCAAAGATCTTATATAGTATGAAAATAACTTCTTGGAGTTGTAGTGTCTTATTTTTTCACCTTTCTTCTTTTTTCCTTCCCTCCCTCCTTCCCTTAGCCAACATAGAAAACTGTGACCTTGACTCCATAAGACAGCCCAACAGTGATGATTTCCAACATGATCCACCTCCCCCTCCACCTTTAGAGATCAGTTCCTTTGAGATGACTCCAGAGAAACCTCCAGAGAGCCAGTCAGTGACCCACTCTGAGCTTGGACTAGGCATGGCAGGCCTTCAACTGCAACTCAACTCTGCCAGGAGGGAAACCAATGGCATCCATCTGAGCCACGGAGTAAATGGACTGATTAATGGCAAAGCAAACAGTAAGAAATCTGCCCCAAAGCCAGCTGCCCTGCTTTCACCCACAAAGGAGCCACCTCCACTGCTCGCCAAACCAAAACTGTGAGTATTTTCTGCATGGTTTTATAAAATCCTCCTCATTTTAAATTCTCTACCTGGTTAGAACTAAAACTGCCTGGAAGCAATTATCTGGTGAATGAACCAGTTGGCCAGTATAGTCTCTTCCTTGGCTGTCAAGAGAGTGAGTCTTTCCACTACTTCTCCCAGTCTGCCAAGGGGCAGAAGGTCTGGGACAATTCAAACAAAACAAATAACTGAGAGAGGGATGTAAATGGGAGGCTTAAAACTCTAGGGGATTACTTTGCCTTTTTGCCAGAAAAGACCAGAAAGTGTGATTGATCATTCCTTCTGCAGAATCAGTGAGCTGTGTGTGCTGGGGTGCAGGCTAGGCTGTAGGTGTGGCCTGGTGTCTTTATCTTGTAGGCAAAAGTGCGATCCATGGAGCAAAGATGATTTTGAACCTTCCTATGTTTATTATAAATTATAAATTGTCTAGAATTAAGCAACCAGGAGGAGACCTAAATATTCTACCAAAGAATGAGAGGCAGAGGGGAAAACTTAATCATTGGGATCGGAAAATTGTATCCTGAATATGAACATCAGCTAAAGAATGAAAGGAGGGCATAGAAATATAGTACGGCCCTGGATCTTGGACAGGAGTACAGGGCCTGGCCAAGGTCCTGGCAGACCTGGAGATAGCCTAAGGCATGATGTGTTGAGGATCCAGAAAGTGTTGTATATTTTAACAATATGTCTTTTCTTATCATTTTTGGATGGGACCTGTGACTTCACCTCTGTGAGCAGGTTTGCTTAAAGAATTTGGTCTACCCAAACAATTCAGCATCTTCTCTACAACTTAGAGTTTTAGAGCACCTCTGGGAGACACTGGTTGATTGTTGTCCTTTGTTCTCAAAGAGGACCAAAATGATATCACTATGTTAGAGTCAAGTTACAGTGTGTCCAGCTGGCTAATCAGACCAATATGAACTAGGAATGCTCTACCACAGGTTGGGCACAAATAGTCCATGTGAACATTTTGGGTGGATTCTTTAAATTTGAACATCTCATGGTAAAGTGACTTGCCTAGGGTCCCTCAGCCTACATGTCCCTTTGAACCCAGACTTTCTCCCATCACTGTGGCATGTTCTTTGTCCATTATGCCATCATGCCTCTCATGCAATGATATATTTTAGGGGGATACTCACTTTGGTCATAGATCATAGATTTAGAACTGGAAGTGACCTTAAAGGCCAACTAGTCCAACTCCCTCATTCATTTTGAAGATTAGGAAACTGAGTCTCAGTTAAGTGACTTCCCTAAGGTCACTTAGGTAGTCAGTGTCAGAGGATTTGAACCTAGATCCTGTGGCTCCAGAGCCAGTGCCCTTTCCACCACACCTCCAGCATACCAACAACCTTACAGCAGCCTCAAGTCCAGTTCTGTTCGTGTTTTTCCTGATGTATAGGGGAAGGGAACAAATAAGCGTTTTTTGAGCATGTACTATGTACACTGTGCTTAGCATTTTCTAAATAGTATATATAGTTCCTTCACAAGTGGTGGCTCTGGCTTAGGAAATCCTTAAACTGAGTCTTTCCCCAAATGCCACCTTCACTTTTAATTTCTATTATTTTCTTAGGATGATAAACTTTGCATGAACTGTTTCCATTGGCGCCACTCAACCGAGAGCTGTTAGAAATGAAGACATTCTAGGGCCAGAGAAAAGAAGAAATAAATGAAGGAACAAGGTCACAGTAAATCTTCCATCATAGCACAGCAACCTCTAATTGCTAATCTGATGTAGGTCAGTGGAAAGAATAAGATTCCTTCAGTATGTGTATATACTGAATGAGCTCACATTTTCATGAGAGTAAACCATTGAATGTTCCCAGCTCTTCACCCCATGAAAGTTGGAAAACCAGACTCTTTTGCTTGGTTTTATTTCTGTTTTGTTTTGGTCTTCATTTTTTTCTTCCCCTTGATATTCCACACCCCAGACTATCACTGGACTCAAGCACCAATCATTTCTTAAGAATACAGGAGAGCTCAGAATCACTGAGTCATTGAGGCACGCCATGAGGAAGTGATACAGCAAACTGGTCAAACTGTATGCAAACCAGCAGTCAGAACCCCTTCCTTTTATTAATAAATAGGTAGACAGTTACAAAATAAAATGTAGGGATCCAGAAGAATAGCATACAGAATGAATACAACAATGTAAAGGAAAAAGTCAGTGAAAGGAGGCTGAACTCTTGAGTAACTAAAAAACCAATAATGGTCCCAGAGAACAAATATGGAAATGTAACTTCTTCCTCACAGTAGAGAAACCGCGGGTCACTAGGGCGGACAATAGCATATATTGTCAATCACTGCCATTACTTGTTTTTGCTCAATTTTTTTTTCCTTTTACAAAGGAGGGTTCAAACTGGGAAGGGGATAGAGAGATATCCAGAAATGACTCTAATGTGCAAACAAAAGGCACTAATAAGATGCATTTTAAAATAAAATAAGTTGCAGACCAATCCAAAAGGATACAGTTTCCAAAAGCTAACCATCCTCTTCTTAATACATATTCACCCTTCAGTGGAAATCCAGATTAAAGAGCTGTCGAGCATACTGTTATACAGTAGAGCCTTGCTAAGAACTTGAGTTGTGTTAGTCAGGTTTTATAGAATAACCTGCGGATGACTTTGTATACTCCTGTGAACACTTTTCAGTATTGAATATCCAAAATAATCTTAGGTAAAGAGACTAGGGGATATGATCTCCATGGGAGGATGAACTTAAAAGTGGACGAATCTTTCATCAATCCCGGACCTAGTGCTGGAAGGGACATCAGAAGCCAGCTAGTCCAGCCCCTCATTTTACAGATAGAGGCACTAAGGCCCAGGCCAGTAAAATGACTTGCTTAATTCACACAGGTAAAGTGTGAAAAGAAGGAATTGACTGCAGATCAATGCAGATCTCCAGTCTGCAGAACTCCAGAGCTGATATACTTTTCTGGTTCACCATATTAAGAAGAGACTTTGCACACAGTAGGGTTGGCCCCTGGAATAAAGTTTCTTTCATGATTGTGTTTCAAATACACATTTTACATTATTTTCTGAAGGAAGTTCTGATCTGGCATAGAAAGAAGGACTAATGCATTTTAATAAGTCAACCTTGCCTGTGTTTTTGATTAAATGAAATATGTCTTGCTTAGCGGTTGCTTTAAATTGAATATAAATCACAGGAGTACAAACATTTGAAGTTGTTAACAGGCATTAACTGTCCCTCTTATCTCCAGAGTTCAAAAATGCTTGGCTTTGAGTTCTGATTGTGGGGATGTTCATGTGGATGTGATTTCTCTCTTCTGAGTGTTTTTTTTTTTTGCTATGTCTATGAAAAGCAGACAAAACAATTTTGTGGTTATTAAGAGAGAAGGATGAGTGGCTTAGATACAAGTTTCTAGAATGACATCATGAGTTGCTTATGACCTAGATTTTAAACATGCATTCAGGTACAAATAAATGAGACTTCAATTTCCAAAGTAGCTATTAACATTTTAATATGAAAATTCAGAAAGAGAAAAACTTTATCTCGAGGGACTGAACTGAATTTCCAAATGGTGCTATTAACCCCATAAAGCCCAGGAGTCAGAGAGAAATGACTCCTATGAAATGTGCATCAATGTTCAATATTTCCTTTCAAATTCTCATTCATTCACAGGCTTAGCACCTGTAATTTCTTCATTTTCATTTTTGGAATATTATTCAAAGGAATTAAAGTCTTTTTTAGCTATGATCATTTTTATTCTAAGATCTCTTAGATATTTTATGAGAGTTGGTAGCAACATCCTCAAGAAAGAGTCCATCTTTTTAAAAATTCTGTCTATTGGTAGGAAAAATACTCCTGAAATATAGCTATAAAACTGTCAGTGATTGATTGCTAATTCAACTCTTTACAAAATAAAATTTGCCATTTGAAGGATACATGAAATGAGAAAGAATGACTTCTTGTAACCTTTCTTTCCTTTAATGATGCTGTTGCTGTTTTCTCTCTTCCTCAGTAAGATCAGTACCTTACCTCACAGGGCACCTGCCACCTTAGCCATTTTCACCTCTGATGATCACACTAATGGAAAGTAGCAATGAAGAGCAGAGATAAATGGGGTTAAAACTTTTTTCCTAAAAAAATACTGGAAAAATTTAAGGAATTGACCAAGAAACCTAGAATTTGGCTTATATGTTCCTGAAAATGGTCACTTCTCTTAAAAAAAAAGCAACTTTTTTTTTTCCTAAAGCAACTTTAAAAAAGTAGATCTTTGATTTCCTAGTGTAGGAAGCTCCTAGTATGGAGTTCAACATATTTTCTGCAACTTATAGTCTTTGTTGCCTGGGGCACTGAGAGATTGAGGAATTTGCTTAGAATCACATAGCCTATATGAGTCAGGGTTAAGTCTCAATTTCCAGCCTTCCCTATTCTAAGAATTGATCTCTATGCACTATGAAATAATATTTCAAAAGCACTTAGTGCAATGTCTGGCACATAATAGGTACTTAAGAAATGATTTTTTAAAACACCACTTTCATAAAGATGTCAGGAAATTAAGAAATAAAAGCTAAAGAAGAAGGAAGAATCATATATTCTTAGATCAACTTCCTGACTCATTCTCAGCTAGAAGATATATGGAGTCAGTGGATTGGCCGCAACTGCAGACATGTAACTGGTGCATATCATACACGTTACATGAGTGTACGATGATGCATTTCCTAGCAAGCTGTCAGGGAGTAAGTCAGTTTCAGTTATTTAATCACTCAGTGTCTTTTTACTTGGCCTTATCCCTTGAAATGTGAGTTAAATGTGATGAAATTTTGGCCATTACACAAATGCTAGCTAGCTACCCTAACCTGGGATTTCTGGAATGCTGGCCACCTGCAATAGGACCACAGGTTAGGGTTACATGCAGCACTCAAGGAAATATATGTATCAGCATTATTTATGTTAGCCACTGTCATCAACCTAGCCCTATACACCTTCCCTCACAGTTTGCCTTCCTTTTGCCT